CACTCATCTTGCTTTAGGATGAGGGAGCCGGTGTTTGTCCACAGACAGCTTTCCAGGTCATGTGGTCAGCATGACTAAACCGCTACTGGCGCACGGAGGACCATGACGAGTGCCAGAGTGCACAGAAATGCTGTTTACCTTACTGCCGCAGCGCGTACCTATTTATCTACTTGCACTGGTGTGCTTTCAAGCTGCTAGGTTGGCGGAAGCTGGGGACAGAGCAGCAGGAGCTTGTTGCGGGGATTCAAACTGCCGACCTTCCAATCAGCAAGCCCAAGAGGCTCAGTGGTTTAGACCACAGTGCCACCTGCTCCCCTGATGGCAGCAGGTATAGTACCACTAAGTGGGTAAGATTGAGGATGAAGGTCTGAGAAACCAGAGTAATAAGTAATGACACCTCTGGGTCTGTAAGAAGCACCAGGGACAAAAGACAGTGAAACCCCAAAGCTCTGAACCCACTTATTGAGTAAGGCTAGTCTGAAGGGTGTTAAACTGCATTGTTGGTTGCTTCGTGTCCCATTTGGATGCTGCATGCAGAGTTGTAAAATGATTCTGCCCAGAATATGACAAAAGGGGAGAAACGAAAGTGAGAGTCGTGACTGTCATCTGTCTATGGTAAATTATTCCTTTTTTATCTAGTACAAGCAGCTGTGTAGCAAGTGCCACCACAATGAAAGTGCTCTGTACTGTTTTCCTGTCCCTTCGCCTGGATTTAGAAATTAAGAAATATATATATATATATATAATATATATATATATATATATATATATATATATGAGAAGAATGACTAATCACAGGAAGAATGCTGCAGCTCTAGAAACCGTACCTGCTGATTCACATACCTACTTCTATCTGCACATTATCATAAGAAAGAGCTCTGATCATTTAACCTTTCTTTTTCCTTGTTTGTATTTTTCATACTGAAGTTACTGCCTAGAAATCATCTGCTGGAGAGCACAATGTACCGTAATTTCAAGCACCTCACCCTCTTGTCTTTGTGGAACATGTAAATGGGTCTTGTGCAGTGTTTACCTCATCCATGCATAGTCAATACCTTTATGCTAAAAAAAAGGTGTATGGATGTCTTGTTTAAGTATTCAAACCAGATTTTTCACACAAGTTAAAGGTAAAGGTAAAGGTACCCCTGCCCGAAGGCCAGTCGTGTCCGACTCTAGGGTTGTGTGCCCATCTCACTTTGGAGGCCGGGGGCCAGCGCTGTCGGAGACACTTCCGGGTCATGTGGCCAGCGTGACGAAGCTGCTCTGGCGAGCCGGCACTAGCGCAGCACACGGAAACGCCGTTTACCTTCCCACTAGAAAGCGGTACCTATTTATCTACTTGCACTTAGGGGTGCTTTCGAACTGCTAGGTGGGCAGGAGCTGGGACCCAACTACGGGAGCTCACCCCGCCGCGGGGATTTGAACTGCTGACCATGAGATTGGCAAGCCCTAGGCGCTGAGGATTTATCCACAGTGCCACCCGCGTCCCACAAGTTAGTTTTGACTAATTTCTGTCCAACTAATATAAGAAAGTGAGAAACCTTGATTCTGTTCCTGTTCCTGTTGAGTTTTAACCTCAAGTTGAAACAACATGTGGCACACTCTGACTGCATTAGCTTCATGAGGATGTTCTTTGTGTGACCCTCAAGTTTGCATGCCCCACTCCCCTCAAGTGTGGAAGTAATAAGCAGTTGGAAATGTTTTAGATTAGCTGCAGTTTGCCGTGTCATATGAACAGACAAACCATGGTTCATCTTAACTGTGCTTAATGGAAACAACCATAGTTTATAAAGCTTGCTTGTCTTCATTAATTCATGGTTAAATCAGCTACAGTTTTGGTTTGAAATGACACCCTAAACAACAGTTAATTTTGAAAGGAGCAGTCTGTTCCTCACAGCCATGTTGCAGGGAAAATATTAGAGAGAGGTTAGGCTCTTTCCTGTCAAAAATGTCATGTTCCTTGCTAGTACAGTGGTACCTCGGGTTAACTACTTAATTCATTCCGGAGGGTCCGTTCTTAACCTGAAACTGTTCTTAACCTGAAGCACCACTTTAGCTAATGGGGACTCCTGCTGCTGCCGTGCCGCTGCTGCACAATTTCTGTTCTTATCCTGAAGCAAAGTTCTTAACCCGAGGTACTATTTCTGGCGTTAGCGGAGTCTGTAACCTGAAGTGTATGTAACCTGAAGTGTATGTAACCCGAGGTACCCACTGTATAACAGATCTGAACAAAAGTTTTTGTCCCTTAATTAATTTGTATTGCATTATTTATTTATTATATATGTTATTAATTTAGTAAATTTATATCCCACCCTCCCAAAGCAGCCTAGGGTGGCAAACAACAAGTGATAAAACAATGAAAGCATCTTAAAAACAATTCCAAAACAGAAAGGTCTTGCTGGAAAGAGGAAGGTCCTTAGAAGGTGCTGAAAAGACAACAGAGGTGGTATCTGTCTAATATTAAGGGAAGGAAAATTTCCAATGGTCAGGTCTCACAGCACCTTATGTTCTGCAGTACAGACTTCCTGAAAAGATGGCATCTGCAGGGAAGCCCTCATGTATAGAACACATTGACTGGCTGGATATTTAAGGCGTGAGATGAATATTTCAAGTTTCCTGGTCCCAAGCTGTATAGGGCTTTATTATACACCAAAACCAGCACCTTGAACTTACCTCTGTAGCTAATTGGCAGTCAGTGCAATTTTTGCAATGATTAAGTTGTGGAATGCTTCCCCCCAGGGAGGCCTGCATAGCACAAATGTTAATGTCTTCTTGGAGCCAGGTTAAGACCTTTTTATTTGCCTGGCCTTTTAAGGTTAATTTTAGATCAGTTTTTAAACGCTGGTGTTTTAGTTTTTTTAAATGTGCTGATGCTGTTGTTTTTAAATGATTAATGAGGTTGTTTGTTTTTTTTAAACTTTAAGCCACACTGAATGCCCTTGGACTGCAGATGATGATGATAAATAAATATGAGCGTACAACCAATATACTGAAATACGGTCGTACTTTGGTTGCCAAATGCCTTGGAACTCATATGTTTCGGCTCCCAAACGATCAAAAATTGGAAGTGAGTGTTCCAGTTTTTGAACGATTTTGGAAGCCAAACATCCGGCACGGCTTCAGCAGCTTTCTGATTGGCTGCAGGACGCTCCTGCAACCAATCAGAAGCCATGTCTTGGTTTTTGAATGGTTCCGGGAGTCAAATGGACTCCCAGAACGCATTCTGTTCAAGAACCAAGGTATGACTGTGCTGAGATTGTGCAGGCATCACCATAGGGGGATGCAGTGGAGGATTTAAAAAAAATTCCATCCCTGTGATTGATGGACCCATGTGGTTACTTGACAAGGGGGAGCCTTTATTTATACTTATACGCAGATCCTGAATTGCGCTTTGTGTTATCGCCAAACTTTTCTTTTTTCCTCACTCTTGCAGTTAATTATCAGGAACATCTCATTACCAAGAGCTTGATAATGGGGGGCGGGGAGTTTAGAACTGTAGGTATAAAAGTGTGCCTGTCTTCAGGTTTGAGAGAAGTATGGAGGTTTTGTATGGAATGGAATGTATGTATGGAAGTGAGAGCTGGACCATAAAGAAGGCTGATCGCCGAAGAATTGATTCTTTTGAATTATGGTGCTGGAGGAGACTCTTGAGAGTCCCATGGACTGCAAGAGATCAAATGCATCCATTCTTAAGGAAATCAGCCCTGAGTGCTCACTGGAAGGACATATCGTGAAGCTGAGGCTCCAGTACTTTGGCCACCTCATGAGAAGAGAAGACTCCCTGGAGAAGACACTGATGCTGGGAAAGATGGAGGGCACAAGGAGAAGGGGGCGACAGAGGACGAGATGGTTTGGATAGTGTTTTCGAGGTTACCAGCATGAGTTTGACCAAACTGCGAGAGGTAGTGGAGGACAGAGGTGCCTGGCGTGCTCTGGTCCATGGGGTCACGAAGAGTCGGACACGACTAAACGACTAAACAACAACAACAAATGGAAGTTTTGCATCCCTACCTTTCTTTGGGTTTAAAAAAAAGACTGTGTGTGTTTGGCTGGCAGCTGTGAGAATATGTTGCTGGACTAGGTGGGTCTTTGGCCTGATTCATCAGGACTTTTTTTTTTTTACTGTAGTGAATAAGTAGATAGCAAAAGTGCTATTTTTGTAACATCCATGTATGCAAAGTAGTCAGTGGCCTCATTCAGAGGTAAGACTAAACCATATTTTAGCGCTACAGTGAGATTTGGTCCCATGCATTCTTTTATCCCTTCTCTTCCCCTGGTAATGGCTGAAAGTAGAATGGAAACATTTGATTACTAATTTAAACTAATTATGGTCTATTGTTATGTCCAAACTGGGAACTATATTTAAGTTTTAATAGATTTATTCAAACAAGTTATAATTATAAACCATGGTTTGAAGGTGGATGAGTCTGACAAATCAGAGTTGGCTGAAATATGTGAGCCCAAGACTTATTCGGGGGCTGGTCCTCTAGCACTAAACTATCCTGCAAAGTCTAACAAGACCAGAATGTTTTAGGTTTTGGTAGGTAATTTTATTTTTGAAATCAACTGCCTTTGTTTGGAGTGAACAGCTGATACATATGTCAGTCCATTTTATGAATTTCTGCATATGAAAGAATAATTGCTTGGAAATGTTTTATTTTTAATGTATAAAACTTTAACAAATTTTGTGTGTTTCTTCAATATCACCTTACCTTTAAACACACACCCTAATTTTGGGTTGGCTATGTATTATTCCATGATATGTACCTGAACTGTTCTCTCTGTGTGAGGGTTGGGGTGTTTTTTTGGGCGGGGGAGTGTTTGTTGTACCTGTCAAACTTGAACAGAAATTCATTAGTTACAATATGGTTACATAGTTTCATGTTGCCATCTTGTGGTCAATAGTAGTAGCTGAACAAGTAATTGTATTCTGTTTGTTTTAAAGGGCAAACAAAACTTTTATTTAGGCCTAACGAATGTATTAAACTGTCTCCCACTCAGGCAATGCTGGCCGTATCTCACCAAAAATTGGAAAAGCTCTAGGAAGTACACCAGGTATGTCTATTTTTGTTTTTTAAACTTTACTTCAAGAAAAGTATTATAAAATATAACACACCATAATGAAGATGAAAGATGCAACTGACGTCCCATCGGTTTACAACAGATTTACAAACTGTATCTGGTGTCAGCCTTTTAAAAATCTGCTCCTATACATGGATATGTACATTCCTCATTTTTATTACACAACTAGATAAATTATTGCCATACTTAGGTGCTAAATATGTGCTGCTTTTACTCAAGGATTTACAAAGAGGAAGGATCCATGGTTTTGAAAGAAGTTCAGTATATCATAATTAGGTTTAGCAAGAATTTCTCCTTCAGATGATTTAATTTCTTAAGGGCATTTCATGAATAATGGTGAATATAAATCATTTTTATTCATGTTATGTGTTTACCTACCTTGCATGTTATTTTGTCTTGTTCTGTTAAAAGCAATAACTCTGGAAAGAAAAACACCTCCAAGCTACACACAATAATCCAGCTTCTTCAGTGTTATAATCAGTATGAATATTTTATGTAGATTACAAAGGGCATCTTTGCAAGTCATAAAGAAACACTGACAGCCAACACAAGAGTAAGGCTCCTTCTCTAGGGGCATGACCCCTAGCACTGTTGCCTTTACAGTGGTACCTTGGTTTAAGAACAGCTTAGTTTATGAACAATTTGGATTAAGAACGCTGCAAACCCAGAAGTAGATGTTTTTGGTTTTGTGAACTTTGCCTTGGGAAGCAGAACATGTTCCACTTCCTGTTGACTGTGTTCCATTTGTAAATTAAGTCCCCCGCTGCTATGGGAAAAGCACGGCTTTGGTTTAAGAATGCTTTGGTTTTGAAAAACGGACTTACGGAATGGATTAAGTTCGTAAACAACGGTACCACTGTATATTGCAAACTGGCTTTCCACACTAATGGGTATTTTGTTTCTTTGTGTATACATCCCACTAAGCTCTGTCCGCACTTGTGGACATGACATAACTGTTGTGGGGTAGGGCCATGTTGCAATTCAGCACACATTTACTATAATAACCCTAGTGGTGGGTATCATTTTATTTCCCTGTTTTTGTTGCTAAAACACTTTTCCATTATTTATTATTATTATTTTGAAATAAAGGTGTAGGGCAATCAAAACGTGACATTGCATTTCAGGGTGAGATGAAACCAAAAGAGTGTTAATAAAATCTTTACTAATTGTTGTGCTAGCCCAACAAGGCTTCTACTGCTAGAAGATCCAAAGAACTGTTTAAGCTTATAGAAGACACTGCAATCGCTTGTCAGAAGTTTTGACATCTTTGAAAAGCAGACCCCTGTGTCTTACTACGGACTGCTCTGAAACTCCCCCACAGCTGCAAAAGCAGCTTGACATACCGCTAGGCATTTTTAGGAAAGCAAGTCTAAAATTCCCTCCTGCTCACAGAACTGCTTTCACATTTATTTCGATCTTGGTCATAGGGAACAAACTTTCGTCTGATAGCATACACATAGTAGACAAAGTTATACCCAAAGCATAATTTAATCCATTTCATTTCTAGGTTTATAAATGAAAGGTAAACTATTTAAAAATTATTTGTGCTTCTCTATATTTTCAATTTTAATTCCAAAAAATTCTTTATTTGCAGCAGACTCATCCATTGTCACTTTTTGTCACCTACCCTAACAGTGCCACAGGCAAGATTTCATTCATATTTTTGACATAGAGTAGGCTTGCCTTCCTTTAACTTTTCCTCTTTAATTTTGGAGTTTGCATTGATTTTGTGTTTTATATTCTTAGATGCATCTTCAGAGGAAGCTCTGAATACTGAAGGTAAGAATTGATTGCACAGAGGATGTATGTAAACTGTAGCTAACTTTTTACAGTGCTTTTAGTTTGAATAGAAATAGGCCTTGCCTCTTGTTAAAAGCTAAAATACTGTAACAGTGATATTTTGATGTAAAATGAGCATCTTTCTCTTTGTTTAAAGCCAACAATGGGATTTGGGGGGTGTACAATTCCGTTACAATTTATTATTTCATACTAAATTGCTAAAATCAAAATAATAATGATGTGTGGAGTGTGTGCCAGATGAAGGATCTGCATATACCTGTCTATTTAAGAACATGAATTTTCCCTTAATGTAGACAGAACAATATACACTGGAAACACAGCTATGTCAACTTCTACAACTGTGGTTGGTAAGGTATCAAAATTAAAACCTATTACATATTAGTGTCACATTGTTTCTGTCTTCGCTATGTGTTCTGTCCCCACATTTATTCCACTAAATGTAGGCCCTCGCTCAGTTTCTAAAGACAGAAATATATCACTCCCATTTTGATTCCATGCTAGGAGCCTGCATTAGAAATAGGTAGGATAATGAGTGAAAGTTATTATAAACTTATTTTATAATGTTCGAATTAAACTTTTTTTCCCTTTTTTAAATTCTAGACAATCGTGCATGCAACTTATCATCTATCTGCCAAGACTCAGGTTAGTGACCTTCTCTTACTTCCATTTTAGATTAGCTTTTTTTCAGCTGAAATTGTAGCATTTAACTGTGTTTAGTTTCGAAGTTGAAACAGAAGTTTTCGTGTTGTCCTCTCACATGTGGAAGAAATGGAAAGGAGCGTTTTGTACCTCCAAGGCTGATGCAGGCTCATTTTCATAATTTATTCAGATTAGAAATTTATATCCTACCATTTCTAATGCAAATGGGTATGGCATACGGCAATTAAAATATTGCCTCTTTTTGAAGCAATAGTTAAAATGGAGACAGGGCAAGAAGACAGATAAAATAAGATCATAAAAGGCATGTGATTATTGCCAAAACACTTACCAGAATTAGCAACAACCTTCAACAACCAGCAAAAAACAGCTGAGAGCTGGAAGCCGAGGTGTTCCCTAATCTGGTGTGGTCATAACTAGGTATCTCTATCCTACCCAACTCTGCTTCAGCAAGATGGGGCACGGAGAAGGGCCACTCATTCAGATTACTTATATAGGCAGGCAGATTCATATAGGATGGGCTTGTGGTGTGGCCAAAGACTGTGTGGAATAGTCATCCAAATTTTGCATCTGGTGCAAAAGAACAGAGGGTCAAATGATTTTTTGCACAAGGAAGCTTAAAAGTACAAGCAGACGGTAGTATATGTTTTCTGTTGTCAAAATTATTCTAAACCAAGCTATTAATAATGACGACTTTTACTTTTCAGTTCTTCTACACGGCGGCACTATGAAATTTCAGTCCAGGGGAAACAGCTCTAATGCTTTCTATAACTTAACACTCGTAAGTCTCTTCCATTTTGATGAATTGCTATTCCGTGATCCAATTTTGGTTGCAATCTTAATATTATAATTATATCCTGTGATGGTATTGGGAAAAGTATATGCTTGTATCAGGAAAGAGCCACCAGGAGGGTCCCCTAGAAAAAGCTTGTGTGATTGAGTGGGTAACTTTTGATATCAAGTGGGCAGGTATAGGGCTGGATTTAGGTTTGATGAGGCCCTAAGCTACTGAAGGTAATGGGGCCCTTTATATGTCCAACTGTCCCTTGTCAACAACAAATTGACGCTGTTTTTTGTATTGAATATATGCTATATAGTAATTTATGGACCTAATAGGTCCATACACAACACAAAATACTGTTGCTGTATGTAGGTTTTATTTTATTTGTTTTTTATCTTATATTTTGGAAATGTACATCCAGTTTTTTTCCCTTTAAATTTTTTAGGAGCCCCAAGAGAGTGGGGTCCTAAACTATAGCTTGTTTAGCTTATACATAAATCCGGCACTGGGCAGGTATGACGTAGGAAGTGAATGGGAAGGAACATTAACCTAGGCTGCAGGAAATTCTTGCTTGCTACCAATAAAGTTGATCATTAAGAGATGGACATAATGAAAAACCTTCTTTTTTTTTTGATATTAATTGACTTTTGGCAGGGGGACATCGAGTCAGATAGAATCTTGGAACTTGCCAGGTCCAACACATATTCATGGATGTGAATACTTACGTCCCTTGCTTTGTCAGTGGAAGTAGCTTTAGAAGGTGAAAACCTGAGGAAATGTACCCCTCCCCCAGCAGCTTTTGTCACATACTCCCAGTGTGTTGTGGTAAAAGATTCAGGGACAACTTGTTTCGCTCTCTTCAAGATAATTAAAGTAGGGTTTCTGGGTAGGGATAGGGTTTCTTAAAGCAACATACCTCCTGGGTGAAGCGCCACAACCCTACGTTATCATGTAACTGGCAGCTTCTCTTAAAAAGGGGAAGGGGTGTTTTACATTGGTACCTCGGGTTACATACGCTTCAGGTTACATACGCTTCAGGTTACAGACCTCCGCTAACCCAGAAATAGTGCTTGCGGTTAAGACACTTTGCCTTCAGGCATGGAGGAACAGAAATCGTAGCTCCCGGCAGCGCGGGGTAAGGGGCAGCAGGAGGCCCCCATTAGCTTATAAAGCTGGTGCTTCAGGGTTAAGAACTCTTTTCAGGTTCAAGTACGGACCTCATCGGAATGAATTAAGTACTTAACCGGAGGTACCACCTGCTACTTATCAAAGGAATTAGGCCCGATTTCTGTAGAGGTGTACAACAAGCATCTGGAGTTTCTAAAAAGCTCCTGGAGTAATAATGTCGCATGATATCTTGCCAAATCCAAAGGTTTAGAAGAAAACTTTAGGGCACAGGCCTCCACCCTTTTACGAGGTAGTGAGCACATTTGGAAGGGCTGTAGGCTCCAGTCACAAAATAGTTGCTATGTGGGTGTACAATATAAAAAATGGCTGCCACATCTAAAAGAGCAGAAAAGGCAACAGAGCCATAAAATAGTATGAGCACACTGCTCCACATCAGTGGAGAAAAAGGCACATCAGCCACCACTGTGCTAGCTCACAGCCAGAAGTTCTTTGCACCTTTCCAGAACAGATGTGATGGTGGGAATCCTAGCCAGGCATCTAGTGACACGTGGGCATGTTTAAGGACATTTGCACAAGAGACTGTTTGGTGTTCCTGTTTGAACTGGCTTGGCCTCTTCTACAGTGGTCAGTATAAACAGGAAAACAAATGCAACAGTCCCTTGTGCAGTGTGGATTTTTAAGGGGATATTACCTTTCATGGTCAGGAAGTACTGACAGGAGCACTGGTGCCATGATCACCACATTGTGGATCCCTGTTTTAATTTAATTTACTCACTATCATTTGGGTGTGGACGTGTTGAGAAGGTGCTCAGCTAAGCCCTGAAGGACATGAGGTCAAGACTTAAGGTACTAATTTTAAACTCATGCCAGTGTGTACCGAATTCCTTTGCTACAAGGCCATGGAAGAGTGTGCACAGCTCATAAGTGTTCTTAGCTGTCTAATGCACTGGACGTAAAGGTTTCTGACCAGCATTAGTATTTATGGTGTCCCTGATGGTGGAGTCTGAGGAAGGGAAGCTATTTACGATGTCAGTGATTTGAGGCCATTGTCAAAGAGTTACACCATTTTACCTCCTGCAGTAAAAGGAATTTAGAGATAAGAAGAATAAATCACTCTAGGGATTAGATTTATTCAATTGGAGCTGGATTCTGAAGGGCTTCTGAAAGGTTAGATTTAGCAATAGTTAGCCCAAGGCTGCTGCAGGGAAGCATTGTGAGAAACTTCAAAGTCCTGTTTGGAATGATCCCTGTCCCAGTCGCTGCACGGTTTCCAAAATGCCAACATGACAGTCATTGACGTATTTCCATGCAGCCTCATTCTCTGCTTCTAAAAATACTCCCAAATACCCCTGTATGATTTGATTTTCCATTATGGTTGATATGAAATTTCATAAGTCTTTATTACTAGGCATGTCGGGGTGGTGGGTGGGTGTTCTTCTGTAATACAGGATGAAATGAGCATAGTGGTTCAGGGTTCCTCAGTTGGAGAAGCCAAGGGGAAAAAAGTTATCTTCTAAATGTCCTATCTTGTCAAGCACCATCTGCCGCTGTATGTCAGCTATATCATATCTTGACTTCTGCAAGTCAGAAACTGTCAATCTGTGTCAAATACTGATTGCTACATATCGGATATTGTCATATGTGGAGTTCTGCTGCTTGCTAGCTGTCAGAAACTGACAAATGTTGGCTACTGCATGCCGGATACTACACGTCACAGCTATCAGACGTTGTCATGTGGCAACAGAGGAACATATTTACATATTTGGTGGGAACGCTCCAGAATAATCAAATGCTGGATTGGTAGTTTGTATGATATCTTTAGCTATATCCATTTCATTACAGGGTATTATTTATTTATTTATTTTATTGTTTTATTTATTTCAGAAAAATTATATGCTGCTTGATTGTTTAAAAACACACACACACTGAAGTGGTTTTTAAAAAGATAAAAAGATAAAATCAAGGGGGGAAAATATAATTATACAAACGTTTACAACAGATTGAAATTACCTCAGCTTCTGAAACATCTGGCTAGGCAAGTGCTGAAAAGAGTACAGTGAGATGCCTGCTTGATCTCAATAGGCAAGGAGTTCCAAAGTGCAGATGCTGCCACACTAAACCATCAGGTATTACGTGGCACCTGCAGCAGTGATAATTCCACTGAATGAAGCAGTCCAGTGGGCACCTCTGGGGTAAGGAGATGCTGCATTGAACATTAAAATCTACTTACCGTTCTTTTGGGTTACTTAGAGGAATAGAATATTCAGTTCCTTGCACTAATGTTAATGTTAATTAATGGGCCTTTTGTTAACAACAGCCATATTTCAACTTCATGATGAAAATGCCCGCAAGGTGGTACCTATTATAGGGTGCTTTGACAAAATATGGGAATTGTTTTTGACAGGATAAAGTATCCATGCAGATTAGTACTATTTTGCACCCTAATTCCAATGATGAGTGCTTGAGAACAGGGTTCTAGTTTCTAATAAATGTACAGTGGTACCTCAGGTTAATTCATTCTGGAGGACTGTTCTTAAACTGAAACTGTTCTTAACCTGAAGCACCGCTTTAGCTAATGGGGTCTCCCGCTGCCGCCGCACCACCGGAGCACGATTTCTGTTCTCATCCTGAAGCAAAGTCCTTAACCTGAAGTACTATTTCTGGATTAGTGGAGTCTGTAACCTGAAGCATATGTAACCTGAAGCATATGTAACCCGAGGTACCACTGTAGTTGTTAAATGGGGGGGGGAGGTTATAGCCATAGTCAGTCCTACTCAAGAGTACACCAAGTACTGGTGTCAGGCTATTTTGTGCCCTAAGGTAAAGGTACCCCTGCCCGTACGGGCCAGTCGTGTCCGACTCTGGGGTTGCGCGCCCATCTCGCTTAAGAGGCCGGGGGCCAGCCCTGTCCGAAGACACTCCCGGGTCACGTGGCCAGCGTGAAGAAGCTGCTCTGGTGAGCCAGCACCAGCGCAGCACACGGAAACGCCATTTACCTTCCCGCTATAAAGCGGTACCTATTTATCTACTTGCACTTAGGGGTGCTTTCGAACTGCTAGGTGGGCAGGAGCTGGGA